GTTAATAAGTATTTACGACAGGGATATCCGTTATCTCCAAGCAAAACGCTGCGAAATTCGCCTGCTTCAAAACGTGCTCGAACAGCACTTCTATCAAAAGTTACGCTATCGTGTGTTGAACCTGGATGCCTCACAACAATATCCATAATTTCCATGTTTGGGCCACAGACAACCTGAAATAAAACAATTGTACATGAAGATAAAGTTCAAAAACATCTCTCCGTATTTCTGCTTGCCTGATAATATTGAAAAATGCATGTACCTGTACATTTAAAGAAAAATAGCCTTTTCTGCATCGAAAAACTTCGGCATTTTCTCCGCCTGGATTTGAAATTGGAATGTATGTACAATCCAAACATCCAACAAGAGAAGGAAAATAAGCAATCGTGTAAAATTTTGCTGTATTTCGACGGATTCCTGTGTCACTTCGTGGGAAACAAATAAATTGCTTCAACTGTTCAGCAAATGCTATGGAGACGTTTTTCACGATGCGGCTTACTGAGGCTTGACTCAACCAACGCAGGTTTCCATGAACCATCTAAAAAACCAATTAACTTTAATACTACTGTTATTCAAGTGTACACCACCACGGTATAAACTATAATATCATAGTTATTGAATGCATATATACCTGAAAACTGTTTGATGCATAAAATCTTAGGGCTGTTAGCAATTGTATAAGTGGAGGTATAGGTAGTCCTCGATTACAATGCTTTTCCAGCTTCGTACGCGTTAAAGGCAACAATACATCAATTACAACGGCTTTACTAAATCGATATCTTCTTGAAAATTCATGGTCTTCATAGTGCTCCAAACGATTTGCATAATCACGGATATAGCGTTTTCTCAGATAATTGGGTTGCTCATCGTCGTCCTCGTTGCTAGTATCACTTTCGTAGAAAACGTCAAATTCCTCCATTTGTCACAAACAGTTCTGGCAAAGCTTCTTCGTATAACCTCGAATAGCTTCTCGATAAAATCGGTATTCCGTACTCTATTAGGGACGCCTAACGGTAATTGAATTCGCCTTCGACCGCTGAAGGCGCTGCAGTTCAAAAAGGACCCTTGAGGGACCTCACGACCAACCTCATGGGAAGAGGCCAATTGAGGGCATTATGAGCCCTCAGTTTCGACTATGAAACGCGTCCGCGAAATAAGTGAGCCAATGAGGGCCCCCTATCCCTTGAGGGACGACTATGAATACCGCCGTAATGCTGCTTTTGTGCTAAGGGTTGAAAGCTGGGTATTTGTTTGTACTGAGAACTCATTAATTTTTTTCATATTGTGGTTCATTGCCCATTCCTGGTTTTGCAAGGAACTAATTGAACTATTGAAAGTTTTTATCGTATTAGTTATCACTTGAATTTGAGATTTTAAGAGAGTCTGTATTTGTTTATCATCGTTTACTAACATTTCTATATTATCGGAATAATATTGTGCGTCATCGGCGTCTGGCACACCGAATAGCCAATTTAAAACATTCGAAACTCCGTTTATAAGTCCACGGCGTTTTCGAGATGATGTGTCAACGGTTAGTTGCTGCAAAATGTCATGTTTATTGTTAATATCTTGAATTCCATCAAAAACTAATTTCATGCTCCGATCACAATGAAAACTGACATGATTGTGCTTTGATTTATCTTCCACAGTAGTTGTACATAATTTTTCAGTTATTCCGAAATTACGAGTTAAGATCAGTCGTGCCTCCTTTAGATATGTGAAATTTATATGAGCCAGAAGGGTTAAACGGGAGTTACAAATTTAAGCAGTTCCTTTTTTGTTATAGAAGATTCCGCTTGAGTGTTCTACTGGTGTGATTTGGTAGTAAGAGCCTTTTATGAGGACTAATGGAAGTAGAAGGAGAAGGATTATCGGATGCATTATCTGGAAAATACCGTTTTAATAGATTAGTATGGTACTTTACTATCCTTTTGCCTATTTGTACATCTACTGTTTGATTGTCATGAACCTTGATAATCTTGTAAGGTCCTCTAACTTGACCAGATAATTTTTTTGTAATACCAATTTTATTTTGTTTGTCTACTATGCAAACGAGATCATTCTCTCTGAAATCTTGAGGTTTTGCGTTTTGGTCGTAATATTCTTTACTTCTTAATTTTTCTTTTATGAAATTTTCTCGAGTAATCTTAAAAGAAACATTCAGTTTGGATTGTAATGATCAACTGTTGTCGTCATAAGTATAGTGGAACTTTGGTTCTTGGGATAGTGAAGAAGGAATGTAAGCCTTCCTACCGAATATTAGTTCATATGGCGTGTAGTTAGTTGATTTATGCATGGAAGTATTGTATGCGAACATAGCAAATGGGAGGTATTAATCCCAATCAGTTTGATTTGGCTTAACATAGTGCTTCAAATAATCGTTTAAGGTGAGATGAGAGCTTTCGAGAGCTCCATTTGTTTGAGGGTGATAGGGAGTAGTTCTTAGATGCTTTGTCTTGAAAAGATTACTCAGTTCTTTGAATAAATTAGAGATGAAGTCCGAACCCCGATCGGTTAAGAAAGTTTTTGGAATTCCGAACGTAGTAAAAAATTTAATGAGCGCGTTGGCCACAGTTTTTGCTTCATGGATAGGTATCGCGGAAGCGGACGACTACAATGTTCAAATGGTGTGGCTGATGTCGTAGTAATCTCCATCGGTTGCTTAGTGGGTTTGAAATTTGTTTTATTGATCTGGCAAGAATGACACGTTTTTATGAATTGTCTTATGTCACTCTTCATACTACTCCAATAGTATCGCTCTTTAATTTTCGAATACGTCTTGTTAAACCCATAATGACCGGCTGATTTACTACAATGATTTTCTTCTAGGATAATTCTTATCTCGTCTTTGTTTTTCGGCGTTATTTTGGTGATGTTCAATATTTTAATATCATTTTTGGGAAACACGAATTTGAGCATTTCGTTTAAAACTACTGATTGAATATTGGGCCTTTATCAGGTGGTACACTGCGGGACATTAATGCTGTCCTTGGGTAGAGCTAGTAGGAAGCGGGGGCGACTAGCACTAGACGAAAGTGAGACGCTCTTATACGCGCTAGGCCACTGCTGCCAGCGAGTGAGAGGGCAGGCCACTGCTAGCAGCGAGTGAGAGGGTCTTATGTGCGATTAGCACTAGACGCAAGTGAGACGCTCTTATACACAATGCAGGCTATCTCTGGGACTCCACTAACTGCGAGTGAGAGGGACTTATGCGGACTCATGTTGATATTTTGTGAGACACTCTTATACGGGACGCCTGGACTCTGGACAGACATGCCGTCCCAAGCGCGGGGAATAGGCTACCCTCTCCACGCGGCGGCCTGGCTTGCTTGCCACCAGTCGCCACTGCCAGTCGCCTAGTTAGTTCGCTAGTTCCTACTAGCTCCACCCAAGGACGGCATTAATGTCCCGCAGTGTACCTACAGACAGACAAAGGTAAAGGATTCCGCGTAGCGCGTAGCCCCGACGTGAAGGCTGCTGTCGTCGAGCGCTACAACCGTACTCTGAAGGAGCGTATGTGGCGTTACTTTACACATAGAAACACGCGAAAGACAATATCACCTTTCCTAATTGAATTTTTAAGTTTTAGCAAACATTCGAAAATGTTTTTGTATTCCAGTTTATCTAAATGGAAATTCTTTGCATGCAGTAAATAGAATATTTGCTTTTCACCTTGAAGTTTATTAATTTGATTAAATTCTGGATTAAACTGAGTCAAATCGAAATGCGAGGAAACATAGATAGCATATTGGTTATTCTCATCGAGGTCTTGAGACCAAAGCAAGACTAATGGATTGTGAATTTTAGATAGAGGGCTATTTTCTTTTTCAAACCCAATAACATCTTGGTTCATATAATGAAATTTAGTAAAATCCGAATAAGTGAGAATCGTTAAAATGACATTATTAATTTGACTGTCAGTCGTTTGGTCGTTTCCAGTTGGAATCTTATCTTCTGAGAAAATTCGCGAAAGTCCATCAGCATTGGAATTTATTCTTCCGGGTTTATATTTAATTTCATAATCATATTCATTTAGTACAAGTCGCCATCTAACGAGCTTGGCTGTAGGTTTTTTACATTTAAATAGCCATTGTAAAGCACGATGGTCCGAATAAATAGTAAATTTACGACCATAGAGATAAGGCATGAACTTGTTAATGGAGTTTATGATGGCTAGGCATTCTTTTTCGATAGTAGGATAATTTTGCTCAGCTGTATTCAAAGTTCGGGAATAATAGGATATGGGAAGATCCTTTCCATCTTTAATTTGAGACAATACTCCTCCGATATCTACATTTGATGCGTCACAAGTAACTACGAAGGGTTCTGAAAAATCTGGGTATTGTAAGATTGGCTGTGCGATAATTTTATCTTTGAGGGTTTGAAATGCTTTTTTGCTGATCTTCAGTCCAATTGAAAGGCGTGTCCTTTGTTAATAAAGTAGTGAGGGGTTTCGTGATCGTGGAAAAGTCTTTAATAAATTTTCTGTAATATCTAATCATATCTAGAAACATTTTTACTTGCTTGCGATTTTTAGGACTTGACATTCCGACGATTGCTTCAACTTTCCCCGGGTTTGGTGTTATTCCGTCTTTAGTAATTACGTGTCCAAGATAGTCACATAAATGTTTAAAAAATTCACATTTGTCAGGTTGTAATTTAAGATTATGTTCTCGCAATCTTTGAAAAATCCTTTTTAATTTTCTATTGTGATCCTCGAGAGTGGAACCGTGTATAACAACGTCATCAAGATAGACAAAACATTGTTTATTATTTAATCCACTTAATACGCTATTCATCATGCGTTGAAACGTTGTAGGTGCATTCCGCCAGAAGTTGAGAATGCAGTCTTTTCTGCGCCATCTAAATTTATAGGGATTTGATGGAATCCACTAGCTAAATCTAATGTAGTGAAATAATGCGCGTGACCTAGCTGATCTAGGATATCTTCAATGTTTGGAAGGGGGTAAGCGTCTCCAATTGTCTTTTCGTTGAGTTTACGATAATCAATAACTATTCGCCATTTACGTTCACCTGATGCATCTAATTTTTTAGGTACAACCCAGAGAGGACTTGACCATGGACTCATTGATGGTCTGATGATTTCTTGATCTAACATCTTATTAATTTGTTTATCTACCTCTTCTTCATGCACTTCTGGATATCGATAAGATTTCACATAGATTGGATCATCGTTCGTAGTTTTTATGGAATGAGATGTGGTAGTAGTTTTTGTTAGTAAGTCTGTTGGTAAGTGGAAAATATCATTGTATTCTGTGGATAATCTTGATATTGATTCCTTTTCTTTAGAGTTTAAATGTTCTAAACGTAAATTTTCTTGTAAGACCTTTAATCTTTTATCTAAGCAATTGTTGTCTTGATTTGGAGCGAGTCGTAAAACATCACTTTGTTTAGGGAGTGGATAAATGTTGAGAGTTGGATTTTGAAATGTTTTAGGTTCCCCTGAAGTGTTTACGGTCGTGACTAGGGCTCTATTATTTTTTATGTGAACAATTGCATTTAGGATCATCAGTTGTGGATCATTATTCAGTTTTAATGCCGATACAATACCTTCGGTTAGGCTTTGAGGATTTGCTATGTATACCTGAATCACCATTTCTGACCTGGCGCTAATTGTGGTCATTGTATTACATTTGGACTGAGGGACGTTTTGGTAAAGAGGAATAAAGTGTGGAATCTGTTGGATTATAATTCTCGAATTTTCATAATCGAATTTACATTTTTGGTCTGTGAAAAAGTCGAAACCTAATAATCCATCGAAAGGTATGTTAGTATGAGCATTGATAACTTGAAATTTCGTGACTAGAGTTTTATTATTGACTTGAAGTGGAATTTTAGTTTCACCCAGAGTTTTGATTGGCGCATTTGGGGTAATTCCATTGAGTATGATTCGATTATTATTAGTAATTTCATAATTGTTGAGAGTTTGCGATTTTATTATTGATTCCGAGGCTCCGGTGTCAACTAAGAGTTTAAGGACTTTATTCTGGCACCTCACGATTTCGGATTCAAATAAAATATAGGTTAAGTAATTTGTGTCTAAGTTTATGTTCATTTGAAGAAATGAATTAAGTTGTGACGTCATGAAATGAACATCATTTAATGTACAAGGCATTGAATTCTGATTTGTTATAGAAGGTGATTGATTTGCACGGCTTTCGAAATGGAAATTGGAACTCTGTGGTTTTTGATTTTACTCATTAGTATTTGAACTTTGAGGGGAATTCTGATTACTATACTGATTCCGATACTGATATATCGTGTCCGAAATTTTTACAATAATTACATTGTACGTTAGGTTGAGCGAAAGTTGATTGATTTCTGTTCCCCGAGATATTATTGTGATAGGAAGAATTTGTGGGATGAGAATTCGTGAAACGAAGCGATCTTTTGTTTGCTTGTGAAAAATTCGTAACTGAGCGAACTTGATTTTTAAAATGGTTTTCATTTGAGGCATGATTGTTTCTACCGCAGTGTTGACATCTTTGCTGGATCGAACTATTATATTTTAATCTTAAAGCTTTTTCTTCGGCTGTTGCAGCAGTAAGTGCTTCATCTATAGTTTTAAATTCGCGATATCTTAACATTTGGGATATTTGAGGATGAGTATGGTAGATAAATCGATTGCATGTCATATCATTAATCATTGCTATGCGACCGGTTAATGTTATCTCTTCATTATCGGAATTATGGATTGCTGCTAAGATTCGTGACGAATATTCTTACATCTGTTACTGATACTGTTTCGTTACGGCCTTGGCTAATGTTATTTAACTCTTCTAGTAATTGATCCATTGATTTTTTATCAGAATATAAATTTAATAATAAGTCGGATATTTCTTCCCAGATAGTAAGTTCACAGTGTATATCTATTTGTTCCCTTGCTTTCCCAACTATTCGATTCTTAACGAATAATAACAATGCAGGTTTTTGTGACTCATTACCAATTTCCATTAGTTCGTCAACTTGCTTAATAAAACTACGGAGTTGAACTCTATTTCCGTCAAATTTCTCAGGGATCAATTTTGTTAAGAACTCTAGGCTACACTGAATAGGAGCAGCGTAGGGATTTGCTAGATTTGCATTCATTTTTCTGATCTGCTTTTTCTTGATTTAGGAATTGGAAATGGAATGATCTCAGTCGGTAGTTGCAACGAATATTAAAGTGTCGGTACTTACAATTACAGCAGAATAATTCCGTGGTTGGTGCTAGAGTCGCTACTTCCAGATTTACAACCAATCCTCAAAATTTAGATTTCTGCTGATGTAAATTGGTTGACTAAATTCACTCGTGTCCAGGACGGTGTTGCTAATTCCGTTGAATGCACTCGTTTTTCACTAGTGTTGAATCAGTCCCAATTTTATGTTGTACATCCTTGTCCAAATTTCAACAATTGAAAATTGTCACTTTAGAAAAAGTATTGGAGGAATCCCATCCTCGTCGCCAAAATTTTGTTGGATTCCTAAATGATACGACGAATCAAAGTTTTAATATTTTTATTTTACTTGATCCATGTTGAGAACTTCTGTGTTCCTGACACTATTCGTGACCCATGAGATGTCCACTTCGCTGGTTTCTATCTAACTGCTCGCTAAAATACGTTCAGGGTGGTTTTTAAGGAAATTGTGAAAATGTGGAGAGGGAAAATGCTTGAGGTTTGAAATTGTACATTACGGTAGTTATATAATGGGAAAGACCTATTCTGAGGTTTTATGGGTTGGATATGGTTTTTAAGGATTAACGAATATTTCTAGGATAGTTATATGATGGGGAAGGCCTATTCTGAATTCTTATGGTTTGGATATGGTTTTTAAGGATTAAAGGGTATTTCTAGGATAATGGGTCTTAGGAAACTGAGATAAGTGCTAGGGATAGAGGTTGGTCATGCTCATAGAAAATTTGGAAAAAAAATATACTAAGTCGGAGAGTTATACAACACTGCTTAGATATTTTTAATTTCATACATTTTTGAGTAGCCTGATTCAATTTAGTAATTTTTTTTATTCAAGCCTACGGAAAGATAATTGTATTTCTAATATCTCGACTTATCAGTATGTTCTGATGTAAAAAATAATCCCCCAAAAAACACTTGCGTGTAAAAAACTACGCCAAGTACAGGATTGCTGTGAATTCCTCTAACAAAAAGTATTGATATCATATTATTGAGGCCAAGTACATAAGTCACTACATGTTTTCCTATTATATGATCTAGCACTGGCCCATCATTTTAATTATATTTTCAATATTTCCTATAACGTTTTCGCTACTTTTTTATGTTACTACTGCTTCCCGTATTTAATTACGATTTAATGGTGATTTAATAATTAATAAAACTGTAGGTGATTCCTTATCGAGTACTACTTGGCATGTCCGTGCCAGGAATTCCAAAGTACTTACTTTGCACGTGCTCATAGTATTCTAATACTGTATGTTTGTTATTAGGCTTTTACCGTGATTATTTTTGACAAGTTATTGTTAATATGCTTTCTATAGAAAACTGGTACTGGTTTTGTACCAAATTTATATCAAGAAATGCACGGATTGTACAGCATGTACAGCAATTGTATAGATCTTGGTGCCGATCGGTTCAGAACAGGAAACCTAAACACAGAAAACTATGCAGAGGGACACTTGAACACTCTGAACTTCCACATCTAACACCTAGGTACAAGAAACTACGAAGCGTAACACCTGAACACCCTGGATATCCGATATCTAAATACAAGAAACTACGGAGAGGAACACCTGAACACTCTGAACTTTCACATTTAACACCTAGATGGAAAAAACTACGGAGCAGAACACCTGGACGCCCTGGACTTCCACGCCCGACACCTAGATACAAGAAACTACGAAGCGGAACACCTGGACACCCTGAACTTCCACGCCCGACACCTAGATACAAGAAACTACGAAGCGGAACACCTGGACACCCTGAACTTCCACGCCCGACACCTAGATACAAGAAACTACGAAGCGGAACACCTGGACACCCTGAACTTCCACGCCCGACACCTAGATACAAGAAACTACGAAGCGGAACACCTGGACACCCTGAACTTCCACGCCCGACACCTAGATACAAGAAACTACGAAGCGGAACACCTGGACACCCTGAACTTCCACGCCCGACACCTAGATACAAGAAACTACGAAGCGGAACACCTGGACACCCTGAACTTCCACGCCCGACACCTAGATACAAGAAACTACGAAGCGGAACACCTGGACACCCTGAACTTCCACGCCCGACACCTAGATACAAGAAACTACGAAGCGGAACACCTGGACACCCTGAACTTCCACGCCCGACACCTAGATACAAGAAACTACGAAGCGGAACACCTGGACACCCTGAACTTCCACGCCCGACACCTAGATACAAGAAACTACGAAGCGGAACACCTGGACACCCTGAACTTCCACGCCCGACACCTAGATACAAGAAACTACGAAGCGGAACACCTGGACACCCTGAACTTCCACGCCCGACACCTAGATACAAGAAACTACGAAGCGGAACACCTGGACACCCTGGACTTCCACGCCCGACACATAGATACAAGCCCTGGACTTTCACGCCCGACACCTAGATACAAGAAACTACGGAGCAGAACACCTGGACGCCCTGGACTTTCACGCCCGACACCTAGATACAAGAAACTACGGAGCAGAACACCTGGACACCCTGGACTTCCCCGCCCGACACCTATATACAGGAAACTACGGAGCGGAACACTTGGACACCCTGGACTTCCACATCCGCCACCTAGTTACAGAAAACTACGGAGAGGAGCATCTGGAAATCCCATATCTCTAAAAATTGTCACGTAAAATACGAGGAACTATGTTAAAGCATACACATACACTCGTACGTACACCCATTCACACGCGCTCCACATGAAAGCCTTAATAATTCTATACTATTGTGAAAGTAGCCTTATGTCAACTGGAAATTCGGTGTGAACGGTAGCTTCACGTACAATGTGTATTTGATTGTGTTGTGTATTCGTAAATTACCAACACCATCCAGAGTACAAATAGGTAAAGAAGGCAAGGCAGTCAGCGCCATCTGTTGTGTAAAATTTGCGATGGACGTGCGAAGACGACGACGACGACAACGACGACGGAACTGAAATAAAATCATCTCGCTCGCCATCTCAATACGCCCTGATCTCGTACACTAATCGTATTGAACTTGGTGGCAATCGCTTCAGAACCTTCAATTCCTATAGTGAATGTATCAATAACTTTTCCTCATATATAGCGGTTCATAAGATATTTCGTTCCAAACACAGGTATAAGGAGTTGACTCGAGTAAAGAGTCTCGGCGCGCTGCGCCCTGTACAGCCGGTTGCCTGTACTTGGCGCGAGACTCGACCGAGTCTCTTGATTCAGAATTAAAATTATACCTCGAAATAATTTTCTGATAATTCGATGTATTCAAAATTTTGTCTTTCCGTAGCCATGAATGATAAAAATTAAATGACAAAAAATCCCTAACCAGATACACTACCGGTCAAAAATTTAGGTTCACTTCGCTTTCTTTGTAACGCTCCCATGACTGGCAGTTTGAGAAACATCACATTTAGAAGCAATTTTTCGCGTTGAAAACCTTCTTCATGTAATGCCACAATGATTGCTCGTGTCTCTACACTCAGCTCTGCTTTTCGACCCATTTCTCTACGATTGACACATGAAATATGTAGTTTTCTTCACATTTCAATAATGAGATGATATTTGTCGAATTACGTCAATTTAAACATACATTTCTCTTTAACAGTAACGATTTTCAATATGAAAAATGTTCTACTTACCTTTTTGTAAAGAAAAATATAAAAAACAATTGGAAATATAACTTTTGAGAAAGAGCTCTCAAGCACTAAGATCTTACGTGTAATATGCACTAGACGCATCGAGAGAATGCATCCTGTCATAACAAGTTTGTGCTCGATCTACGCGTCTCCCAAACGCACCAAACTCCCTCCTACACTCTGACCAGTAGCGTTTATCGACTTGTTATAGGTAAGACGCACGTGCTTGACAAAATTCACAGAGTAGCCGACTTAATTCTGTAGAATTAAAAAATAACGCAAGTGAACTTAAACTTTTGACCGGTAGTGTAAATCGAGCTGACTGTATCCGAAATGTGAAGCGAAATAGGTTGTAATTTGTAAACAAGTTATTCGACCGCAGTAGACTTACTACTGTTACCATAGAAAATGTATGTAATTGTTGCAGATTAGCATGTCGAGATTCAAGCTCGGTCATGCGTATATCACAAACGGTCCTTTTCAGGACCACTCAAAACGTAATACGATGGCATAACTATCTTGTCAGATTAAAGGAATAGACATTATAAGGAATAAAGTGTACCTTCTGAAATTCACTGACGTTACAGCAAGCGATTGTATCACCGTCGGGAAGTTAGCGCGGGAAAATCAAAATTTGTATGTTTATAATGCTTAAAAAATTGCTCCTTAAATGCTCCATATGTTCCGTAATTGCTCCACTGCTACTATGCAGTGATTAATAAATATTCATTAAAACAGAAAATTTTTTTTTATTGAAATTCCAAATAACCAAGCAGATTTTCATATGAGTTTCTTGATGAATTAGTTGCTCCCGATTTGCTCCACAATTAGTTTTTCATTCAATTAAAACATCTTTAAATAATAAGTAAAATTTGATTTTCACTTAGCTCGATTGCAAACGTGAATATTATGATTGGTTTGCAAACACACCTATGACAGCTGCGTTCTAAGATCAGCTGAGAGTGCGCGAACATCGTTGCCTCGGTTCATTTTCGAACACACTTGGTCAATTCAGGATTGGTCAATTCCTTTAGATCAGTATTAACTAAACCTGTTCAAGACCACCGTGTAAACGTAGTTTAAGGCCTGTTATCTTCTGCGCGCTTCAATGTATAAACTACGTTTATTTTCAAAATACAAGTGTCTGATTGGGTAATAGTACAGTTAAGCCGAGTTTATGCATTTAGCCGTGTCGAAGAAAACGGGCGTAAATCGGTTCAAGCCGCGGTGTAAACGTAGTCAGGGACTAACACAGGCATTTCCACTTTCAAGAAATATTTGGGATTTATCATTTCCGTTAGATGAGTAATGATTAACCCGGAATAAGACCGTGTGAACGTGGTCGATGACTACAATCACACGATGGTTTTATTTCGGTTATGATTTTACTAAAAGATAACCCTCGGTTAACTGGCGAAATTACATGTTTGAACACGCTAAGGCATTGATACAGCCTAACCATTACAGTGACTTATTTTGCAACAACGAGATTTTTCCGTACTGCGATTCCAGGTGATTTTTCTTACTCGTGCGATGTATATTCCATTGTGAAAATGGATAATGCCTTTTACTCTAATTCAGATCCTAATAGTTGTCATCACGAAGATATAATGGCACGGGACTAAAAAGTTTAGCTATTCTTGGGCTAAAAAAATCATTAAGATATATTTCAATAACAAAACAATCTACACAAGAAACAGGTTACATTATACAATTCTGTGCTAATAGTACGAGTAT